GAAACACAACCATCGTGGAATGATTTAAGTGCTTCCTCAGAGACTTGTGCGCATGGAGTGAAACTTGTTGAGTGGCTGAGATGGATTTTTTTGGGCATGTCTCAAGAAAGGAGGCTCTGATATCAAGTTGAGAAATAATAATGCGGAAGAGAGAATAATAAAATTTTATGAATTTTTTATGTATATATTCATAAAGAATACATCAGCCTAACGTGTGCCATGTAGGACAGACGGTGTTCACGTCAGCGATTTTAGGCCAAAATTGGCTAAAAAGACCACATTGGCAAATTCACAAAAGGTTTTGGACTAAATTGGCCAAACCGAAATGTTTAGGACTAAATGGGTATCCGTACAATAGGTTTATAATTTTTTTTTAGAACGATGAAATTTTTTGTATATTTCGATGTATATATTAATAAAGAATATAGTAGCCTATTTATAGGCTTTATTAGAAAACTATTCTAAGATAATATCTCAATCAAGATATGCACAATCAAAGGGATATATACGTGCATTATATTTTGAAAGATATGGATAATCAACATAATTATCAAAATATCTGTAGCATCAAGTGGCCTATACGACTGGCTTGGGAAAATAATCACTGAACGATGCGGCCTGTGTGGCTAGCATCAAAAGAAAAGCCATCTTCGTGAAAAAGGCTCGACTCGGCGATGCGGCCGGTGCGATTTGCATCGAAACACAACCATCGTGGAATGATTTAAGTACTTCCTCAGAGACTTGTGCGCATGGAGTGAAACTTGTTGAGTGGCTGAGATGGATTTTTTTGGGCATGTCTCAAGAAAGGAGGCTCTGATATCAAGTTGAGAAATAATAATGCGGAAGAGAGAATAATAAAATTTTATGAATTTTTTATGTATATATTCATAAAGAATACATCAGCCTAACGTGTGCCATGTAGGACAGACGGTGTTCACGTCAGCGATTTTAGGCCAAAATTGGCTAAAAAGACCACATTGGCAAATTCACAAAAGGTTTTGGACTAAATTGGCCAAACCGAAATGTTTAGGACTAAATGGGTATCCGTACAATAGGTTTATAATTTTTTTTGAGAACGATGAAATTTTTGTATATTTCGATGTATATATTAATAAAGAATATAGTAGCCTATTTATAGGCTTTATTAGAAAACTATTCTAAGATAATATCTCAATCAAGATATGCACAATCAAAGGGAGATATACGTGCATTATATTTTGAAAGATATGGATAATCAACATAATTATCAAAATATCTGTAGCATCAAGTGGCCTATACGACTGGCTTGGGAAAATAATCACTGAACGATGCGGCCTGTGTGGCTAGCATCAAAAGTGGTTGGCATCAAAAGAAAAGCCATCTTCGTGAAAAAGGCTCGACTCGGCGATGTGGCCGGTGCGATTTGCATCGAAACACAACCATCGTGGAATGATTTAAGTGCTTCCTCAGAGACTTGTGCGCATGGAGTGAAACTTGTTGAGTGGCTAAGATGGATTTTTTTGGGCATGTCTCAAGAAAAGAGGCTCTGATATCAAGTTGAGAAATAATAATACGGAAGAGAGAATAATAAAATTTTATGAATTTTTTATGTATATATTCATAAAGAATACATTAGCCTAACGTGTGCCATGTAGGACAGACGGTGTTCACGTCAGCGATTTTAGGCCAAAATTGGCTAAAAAGACCACATTGGCAAATTCACAAAAGGTTTTGGACTAAATTGGCCAAACCGAAATGTTTAGGACTAAATGGGTATCCGTACAATAGGTTTATAATTTTTTTTTGAGAACGATGAAATTTTTGTATATTTCATGTATATATTAATAAAGAATATAGTAGCCTATTTATAGGCTTTATTAGAAAACTATTCTAAGATAATATCTCAATCAAGATATGCACAATCAAAGGGATATATACGTGCATTATATTTTGAAAGATATGGATAATCAACATAATTATCAAAATATCTGTAGCATCAAGTGGCCTATACGACTGGCTTGGGAAAATAATCACTGAACGATGCGGCCTGTGTGGCTAGCATCAAAAGTGGTTGGCATCAAAAGAAAAGCCATCTTCGTGAAAAAGGCTCGACTCGGCGATGCGGCCGGTGCGATTTGCATCGAAACACAACCATCGTGGAATGATTTAAGTGCTTCCTCAGAGACTTGTGCGCATGGAGTGAAACTTGTTGAGTGGCTGAGATGGATTTTTTTGGGCATGTCTCAAGAAAGGAGGCTCTGATATCAAGTTGAGAAATAATAATGCGGAAGAGAGAATAATAAAATTTTATGAATTTTTTATGTATATTTCATAAAAAATACATCAGCCTATTTGTAAGCTTTATTTGATAATTATTTTAAGATAATATCTCAATCAATATATGCACAATCAAATGAATATATACATACATTGTACGTGCAATACACATGCAATCTTCAGTTATATATGAATAATCAACAGAATTATCAAAATATCTCTAATAATAAAAATTATCTAAGAAAAATCCTTAATGGAGATGGGAACATTGATTTGTTCAAGACGACATTAGAAAAAGAAACAAGAAATAATCGTTTAATTGGGAGGATTGGTGAAAGGTTTGATCAAGTGAATATTCTATAGTATCATACATATACCGCAAGTGAGAAACCGCACATGGGGACAAAAGATTGTAATATCTTTTCATATCAGGAAATAATCATATGAAAGGTTTTTTTTTTTTTTGGTCTGAAAATAATGTGAAAGGTTGACCATGTGAATATTATACAGTAATATAGTATCATACATACACCGGAAGTGAGAGACTGCACATGTGTACAAAAAGATTGTGATTTCTTTCGTATACTTGACCATGTATTGCGTCATGATTTTTATTTTAATTTAGGGTCCGTTTGTTTTGCAAAAAATTTAATATTTTTAAAAAATAATTTTCAAGACTTTATTTTTCGGTATATGGGTAAAACCTAAAAAAGTCCTGGAAAGTATTTTTAGTCGTTTGGTAAGAAAAATATAATGGGAAAAATTATCAACAAAATCATATTTTTTTTAATTTTTTTTTTGTTTTTGCTTCTTCCTTGGCCAGTCGTTGGCCATGACGACGGGCCAGCGATCGGCCACAGGCAAGCTCTAGCCTCACCCATGGTTGATGACGCTCAAGTTTGCCAAATCCTAGCGAGCTCGTCCAATCTGGGGAGGCCCAAGCTCGAGCCTTCCCGCGAGCTCCCCCGATTTGGCGAGGCTCGATCTCGCCGGTCATCGCTGTGGCCGACAACTGGCCAAGGAAGAAGCAAAAAGAAAAGGGAAGAAAAGAAAAAAAATAAAAGAATAGAAAAGAAAAGTTAAAAAATAAAAAATCAATTATATTAAAAAATAAAAATATCGATTTTTTTAAATTAAAATTTCGAATTTATAAAAATATATGTTTCTATAAGAACAAACGTTTCATTAACCAAGGACTCAAGCTGGAGAGCCGAGGACCCGAGCATGGCCTTTGTGGACTCGACCTGAGGGTTGGGACCGAAGCTTGAGCGTCGGGGACCTGAGCATGACTTTTATGGATCCGAGTTCAAGTGTCAGAGTATCGGATATGGGCATCGGGGGTTCGGGCCAAGCCTCTATGGACCTGGGACACCGAGGTCCCTAGTCCGGCCACTGGAGACCTTGTCCTGAAACGCCGGGACCCGGAAATCAGCGTTGTGGTTTCCGTGCCCAAGCGTAGAGTTTCAAGTCCAAGCATCAATACCTAGTCATATTTCGGAAAACGTTTTCTGGTCCTTTCAAAGAAAAAATCATTTTCCTGAATTTAAGCTTTGATTGGAAAACTTTTTCTGTTGACTCATTTTCTAAGTAAACCAAACACCGAAAAATGAGGTAAATATTTTTCCGGAAAATGTTTTTTGCGAAACAAACGGAACTTAAACTCTGTCCAAACAGAAGGCAACTGTGATCCCGTATATTATATAGTTTACAGGCTATCTGGTCAAACTAATAATACCCAATTTTCTCTCCCGCTTTCCTTAGACGTATGAAGAGAAAGTAAACCTTCCCGTTGAACAAAACTATTCTAACCTTTCGTTTCTTTTTATTTTCTTTCGACTCGTCTATCTCTGCAATTATATGCAAACTGTCCATGGAACACTGAATTTAATCCTGAGGTTAATCTCTAATATTTCATGAACGCAATGCAGGAGCAATCTACATGGGTGAATGCCACTGGAGAGATGAAGAATCGGCGGCTGCAATCCTGGGATCCATGTTACGTGCAACACATCTCCTTTGACTTCCCAGTATTTATAAAAGAAAATGAAAATCATGAAGAAAATTCTCATTTGTCGCTTTCCATTTCGGTGGTTTAGAGAAAAATCCTTGTTTCTCAATGCGAATGGGACAAGGACAACGCCAGGGAGGGGAAGTTGCTCGTGCATAGAAGATAAATCTCAAAGCACCTCCTTTTCGTTCGTTTTTCATTCTTAAGAAAAGTAAGAGCAGCCAAAATGCCAGGACAATTCATGCTTGAGTCAGCTTTTGTCCGTGTCCGAGTGCATCGGCTTTTTTCAAGAATTACGGTTTCTCTCAAACCAGAAACTCAAATATTGTTAGGAGCACCCGAGAACGAGCTTACATGGGAAGATGAAACTAAATGAGCATCGCCTGGCAGATAATTGAGAACGAGCGCAGCAAAAGTGCCATACTAGGTGTGGTAACAAGCATTGCCTAACACTAATTACTAATCATCGATAAGAGAACAACTCGACATAAGAAGTTCATGTAGGTACGTAGAAACGCAAGAATGATATAAAGCCTCTTAGTCATCATTCACAGAGGCTGTTTACAAAAAGCATCTCACCTTTCATTTCACCTAAGAACATAAAGAATGATACCCTTTGCTGGAACGCATCGCCAGAGTCATTTAAGAGGGGAGCTTTGCCACCTGAAATACAAGTCTCACTAGTAAGATAAGGTGCTCAAAGATATGTTCTTTCCCCCTTTCCATAAGACAAAAATGCCTGAAAAAGAATCTTGAAGTGCCCTCACTGATACAATAGGTTCAAATGTTGAAGTTTCGCGCGCGGTCAAGTAGCATTTCAAGTTGTGCGTAAAAGGTGCCGGATGATCATAGTAAGCATTATATGTTGCGCATACATGCAAAAGAACTGACACAGAAGAATCTTTAAGCTAACATATTTCAAATTCTGCACCACCTTTTTGGATCAAAGAGGTCAAAGTTCAATCCCTCTGCAACAGTCCAAGCACAAACCATCTTGAGTTTTCTCTTTTCATTAGATCGACACCTATTTAACAAAATCAATTCAGTAGTGCATTACCTCAGGAGTCAGTAACCGTGTGCGGAGCAACATTGAGCAAATAGTCACGTTGCTATGGATTGTGATGTTCATATGCCAGGAACAGCATCAAAAGAATGGAGAACTTCCTCCAACATCATCCTTGTTTGGGTGTCAAGTGGACTCTCTGGTTTGTCCGAGTGAGCGATGTTTAACAGATAGAGCTTCTTTGAGGTCACAAATGCAGCCGAAAAGATCCTTTTCATGCCTCCCCTGCTGCTGTCCAATTTGTATTCAAACTCATAAACTTGCAAGCCTCCCCGGCCAGATCTCTCCGCCACTCCAATCACTTCAGCGTCTTTCGTACTTTCCTGTTTGGAAAAAAATGGTTTAAAGCACATGGAAGCTTCAAGCCAAACCCAAAACTTATCGACGTATCACTCATAGGTTTACAGCCAAAGAGCCTAAAGACCTGAATCAAGCCAATTTTGACTAATTAAGTCATCATCATTATATATGATATAGAAATGAAAGTCATGGAAACACATTTGAATGTATTTTACATATTCAATTATATGATTAAGTGAGATAACTATGACTATACCAACATGTCTGATAGTAGAACACTGAATGCAGCTCAACCAGAGTTTTGATTCAGTTTTCCTCTTAAATGATTTGGGTTTTAGATATGGTAAAATATTGAAATTGGTGGATCCACTTCAGGCCAATATTTGGTGCACCATGAAGCCAAGTTGACCTGTGACTGTGAGCAAGAGGATCAATCATCACTTGCCATCATCTCTGCAGCCAAAAAACCTCTCTCTCTCTCTCTCCCTCTCTCTCTCTCTCTCTCTCTCTCTCATTGCGTCGATCATCTCCAGTGAACTGCATAGACTCCTGAGATCAAATTATTTACTCACAAATGAGTTCATCCATCTTGTTTTAGATATGAAGCTGACATTCCAGCCTTTTGAGTAAGGAATTCATACTGTCACCATGTATACGATAGAATAATTATTTAGCATACTTAAACTATCTACTGCAGAAAGATACTTCACTTCAATGTTTCCCCTTAATAAGACAGCTCCAAGACATAATTCTTCTCAGCAATTCTAACAAAGACCAAATTATCTACCAAATAATCGATCGCCTGAAAACACAAGAGGCTTCGGGCACCATACTTTTAAGACATTCCATATTTAGAATGAAGCAAGCAATTGAACAAGCACCTACTTTGCGCTTTTCGGCTTGTATGAGCTTGTCCGCAACAAACTGAGGACTCCCAAATTCGTCAAGGCTCGCAAGACGAACAGGACTCACCACCACTCCCACGTTGTTGCTCCCCTTGGTTGGCTCCTCAAACAGCACCGTCGCTCCTGCTTTATCCACCTTCAGTTCCAACAATAAAACAACCCCAATTACTTGGACGGTCACGGCATTTTTGCAAGTCTGATATTCATTATACATTGTACACACAGATGTGTTACCTTAACCCAAGAAGAAGGTTTGAGGAGGGTGAAGCCCTCCTTGGAGTCTGTGTACCTCTCCAGCTCCACTTCTTGAGGCAACGTCGCCAGCGACGCGCTCGAGCCACACCCATTTAGCAGGATGGCAAGAATCGAGAGGCTCGCGGCCCTCCTCTTGCTCAAACGAACTGCTGGCAAGAACGGGACTTGGGCGCGAGGGCTGCGATTCCGAGTTGGAATGCGAGGCTTGGTGATCGAACGCGAGGTGCTGGAATTCAGAGGTGGGAACGGAAAGGGTCGAAGGTTGAAGAGAGAGCGATGATGATCTGAGAGGGCCGAGCAAGTTTGGAGAGCCATGGCAGTCGGAGTGGAGGAGGATTTGGCGCAGACATTGACATCGTCAGGGGATGGAAAAAAAAAAATCTCTTCCCTACATTTTTTTTCGCGAGTTTTCCTCGCTGTTATTTATTTATTTATTTATTTGGTTTACTTTTTTAAGGATAGAAATATAATCATTGTCATCGGGACCTCGGGTTCGTTTGAGAATGATTTTGCCGTGTCACTTTAGGCTAAAATTTGGCGTTTGGGAAATTTTTTTCGAAACCCCATTAAAACTGCGTTTGGGAAGGCTTTTGGGGAAAGCCATTAGAGAAAAGCAAAAGCCTTTACTTTAAAGGGTTTTGGTGAAATGCTAAAACTGTTTGGTACACTATAACTGAAAAGTGTCTTGAGAGGCAACTTTGGGAAAATGCTGTTTGGTAAACATATATTTGAGGAAGTCCTTTGATTTGACCAATTTAAGTTTTTTAATTTTAATTTGTTTAAAATTGAAAAACAATAATGATCGAGACTTTTATATTTCGTGTTTAGAGTAACGTAAAAGAGATATATTAACAGATTAATAAATAAATAAACCACATCTTTGCAAAAAGAGAGTAATTTAATTATAATAAACATTGTCACATATGCATCGAGGAAAACAATAGATTATCATTGAAATTTACAAGCATCTTTAAGTATTTACTAAACTCATGGCTATTTGATCACGTAAACGTGTCATGTCAGAAAATAAATTATCATTTGAAACACTAGCCCCGCCATTCACATCATCAAGATCAACTGAATATCCATAATTGGGATCCAAATCTGCTCTTTCAAAATGTTTATTATTGACGGCGTTTCTTCGTATATAATTGTGCAAAGTCATTGCTGCTATAACAATTTTCACTTGCTTCTCAAACGGATAACTTGGCATATGCGTTAGAATCTTCCACTTCTTCTTCAATACACTAAATGCTCGCTCAATTTCTGATCTTAGCGAGGAATGATGACGGTTGAATACCTCCTGATAACCTGAAGGTGTAGGATTTGTCGAAATTTTGGCAAATGATATTTCCAATTGTTCCTGCATGTTCTTAAGGCCTAAGGAGTGCAATAAAAAGGTAAGAAGGAATGGCCAAACACCCCAAACCACCAATCAAGTGGGGGAAGGAGCATCATTTGTCAAAATCAGATCACTATTTTTGTTATTAAAAAGGGTTGCCCGACTCCAACCAAATGTGATTTGGTGGCAGCTAAGTGATCAATCACATGATGATAATTTGCAGCAACAGTTCCATATGCAAGAATACAGTCCTTTGCTACCTTCAAAAACCACTTGTAAACGTATATAAGTAACTACAAAAACTCTTTATAGAAAGTGAAACCCATTCAGGAAAAAAGAAGGCCGAAAGAAGAATAGCAGAATGGTATTTAAAGAACTGGGAAGCATAGAATCTTAAGCCCACACTAAATAGCTCAGGGCCTTAGGCTTTTAATAAAACCGATGCCGCATCCCCAAAATGGAAAACACGAAAAATAGAAGGAAACATAAAGAGGGAGAGACATTTTACTGCGGAGACAATCTAAAATGTAGCAGAACAAGAAACCATATTCCTTGTCATAGAGACGCAATGATGAATAGATTACCTGCTTTCTGCTCCAATCATATACTCGCGTGCCAGCCGTAGGGGCACATTGAAGCAGCACAATTCCTTCCCTAGACAGTTTATATGCCCCTGACTACACCATTTAACCCAAAACTTCAACAGGTCACAAACTAACATCTCAGGACTTTTCGGATATATAAGAAGAAGAAAATCTCTAACGTACATCTAAAGAAGTGAATTCTGGAGATCGGGGCTCCACTGTCAGAGCTGCCTTTCCTTTGTATATGGAATGACCGACGAAAACCTTTGTAGATGTTGTTCCTACTGCACATAAGAAACCCAAGTAACTCAAAAGAACCAGCATTGGCGCTGCTGAAGCATAATTTCAGAAAAGCAAACAAGAATTAACCACAATATCTTCTCTTTCATAGCTGCATAGAATCCACACTCTTCCATTACTAAAGGGATTAAGCAAATGAACCCTTCGCTGCCGACTTGGTAATTGACTAACCAAGACAGCAAAAAACTATGAGAAAAACTGTTAATCTTATCACTAGGTTAGCTCCATCTATCTGACCATCCTGTAGAGCCACAAATGAGAACAAGAACAAAATTTACTCTCGACTTGCCAGAATATGAGCAAACTCGTAAAGTTACCAGCAACCGAACCCTAACCTCCTAGCCTCAAGAATCTGCTAGCTTTCATCTACAACCGAAAAACTATAGAGACTTCTATCTTGCAGAAACATGGCATTTCAATTGAGGCAAAAGACTTAACAATCATAACTAGAAAAAACACTACGAGAAGGAATCGAAGTATAAGAACCTAGATTCAAGATAAGATGAGCAATTGGGTTCCGAGCGAAGATAGAGGCGAGCACGGCGAGGTGAGCAACTCGGTTCTAAATGAAGAGGGAGGCCACCAAGAGAGAGGCGAGCATGAGTGAGGCGAGCGACTTAACAATCACAGCTAGAAAAAACACTACGAGAAGGAATCGAAGCAAAATAACCTGGATTCGAGGTGAGACGAGCAACTGGGTTCCGAGCGAAGACAGAGGCGAGCACGGCGAGGCGAGCGACTTGGTTCTGAGCGAAGACAGAGGCCACCAAGAGGCGTGCACGAGAGAAGAAAACGGTGAATAAAGAGCAACCAGAGAGAGAGGCGAAGCGAGCGGAGCGTAAGGGGTTAGCGTGACCGTTGCTTCTAGGGTTTCTAACAAAAGAAAGGTTAAAGTGGAAATTAGATAAATCTCTAAGGGCAAAAAAGGCAATAAAAAAATTCATTATTATCCCTACAGCATTCCGAGATTGCTGAAATGTCAAGGCAGGTAGAAGGCTGCCTTGGGCTTTTAGCCGTCAAAAGGCCAACTTTCTCTTAGGGTGCATTTGGGAATGGCTTTGCCAAGCCACTTTGGGCATCCAAAAATCTTTAGGCTAAAATTTGGTGTTTGGGAAATTTTTTAAAAATCCCATTAAGAGAAAGTTGGCCTTTTGAAGGCTAAAAGCCCAAGGTAGCCTATCAGCTCTTATAATTCTTTGATTGTGAGCTTAACGTGGAAAACATAGATTTGGGCGAGGGACCGTGCACCCTCACTTGGGGTGTCTTGGCCCTCGCCCAGGCCCTCATCGACATCGAGCGAGCGCCGCGACGCCCTCCCAATGCTAGCGACCATTGCCAACGCTCAGTAAAAAAACTAAAGAAAAGAAAAAATTATAAAAAAATTTCATATCAACGTGCCATATCACATAGGATGTTCGGCGTCTACGGTAACAAATTTCGGCCTAAATTGGTCGGATGGACTTAATTGACAAAATGTGAAAATATTTATATCTAAATTGATACGATTAAAAGGTTTATGACTGAATTGACACGGGTGTAATAGCTAATGTGGCCGTTTAGTTAGCATTGGCCGTCCTACATGGCACATCCGACGTTGATATGGACAAATTTTTAAATTTTTTATTTTTTGAATTTATCCTTTTTTTTTATGTTTCTCTGTCCTTCTTCCTCGAACTAGTCAACGAGCCTCAGAAATGACCATAGAGGTTGACCTCACCATCACTGGGCAAGGCATGACTTTGCACAGCAACGCCCTTACCAGCCATTAGCGAGGTCAACCTCACCCAACGAAGGCGAGCCTCGCCCAACCACTAGCCACTAGTGAGTAGCAAGGGTCACCCTTGCCCAAAGACGGCGAGGTCAAGCCTCACCAGCCTAGCCACTAAAGAGGCCGACCTCGCCCAATGTTGGCGAGGTCGAGCGTCGCCGGGCTAGTTCTCTCCGAGGCCAATGAGGTATCTCGCCTATAGCCGGTCAACAGGCATCGTTGAGGCCCAAAAACCATTTAGAGGAAGAAGGAAAGAAAAAAAAAGAACAGAAAAAGAAAAAAGTTCAAAAAAAATATTAAATTTATCTACGTTAGCGTTGACTATCTTACGCCGGTCATGCCACGTAGGATAGCCGGCGTTGACTAGACCACAGTGTTGGCTATTTTCAACTAAAATTGACCGCAAAAACTAAATTAACAAATCGTTAAAAAATTTAGAATTAAATTGGTAACTCATCAAAAGTTTTAGGACTAAATTAATATTAGGGGTGTGCAAATGTACCACCTGGACTAGGAACCGCCCGGACCGGATCGGACTAGCCGGTTTGGTTCGGTTCCCGGCTCCTAAAAGTGGAACCGGTGTCTGAGCGGTTTGGTCCAAATCCCCGATTCCCGATTCCAAGGTGTCGCGACCTAAAATTTCTCTCAGGCTAATGGATTGTTAAGACTAAGCCTAACTCGGGCCCTCCCAAGCCCTACCAATTCGCAACTTAGAGTTTAAGTTTTTAACATGCAAAAGTTTTTATGCTCGGAGTCGCCACTAATCAATTTATGGTAGGTTGATTAGAAACCTAAATAAAACATAGGGAGATATGTTTTATTCCTACGAACCAGAGATTCTAAGCTCGGGGACTTGATTACGCTAGATCTAGTCTAACGCCCTTTCGGTACCTTTTCTTTTCGAAAATGTTTTGGCAGGCAGTTTGGATTCATTTCAACTTAGTCACTAGTATGTGAGGTGATCATGCGGGTGCGCAAACCACCAAAGTAACACCCAATAATCAAAACATTAAATAAATTGCAAGGTTGGGAGAATTACTTACCTCGAAGCAACGTAAGCATCTGCATTGTTAGCTAGAAAATCACATCAACAATCCTAATATGATTTCTAATTAACAAGCAGTTCACTCAATATTTTTTAGGATTTTCACTTATTTAAATGGAAGCTAACCTATATATAATGACATGCAAAAATTAACATGTGATTAATGCAGTCTAACATGCAAACTATATGTCATGGGACGATGTGACCTAATTCTAATGACAGACAAATGATTTATTTTTGGTATTTTCAAATGAAATTCGGAATTAAAAATACTCAAATCAACATGTAATCTATCCTAGAGAAAATGATTTGATCTATCCTAAAGTGATTCTTTTTTGGAATTTTTATTAAAATTCGAAATTTTAAAATAACCTAAATAATCTATTAGGATTAGAATAACACCTAATTTAAACTAGGAAATAAATTATCTCAAGTCCTAATTTAAATTAAATAATTATCCTATTTTCTAGATACATTTAGGGTTCCCTAAACATGCAAAACTTCTAATTTAAATCTAACTAACAAATTTTTGGATTTTCTTCATTTAAAAGGAAAGCAATCAAACAAAGATAACAAGCACATTCAAACAATCCACGCAATCCGCAAGATTCTTCAAATTCAGATAAGGCAAATAAATCAAACTAACGGTCATATCTATAGGGTTATAGATATCGACAGAAAGTTGATTGTTTAAATTTGGAAAGCAAATAAAATCTATTATCGTATCCAAGTGATTATGGATAAGATAACGATTTTCCGTATCGCCGCGTATCGTACCTTAGGGATAAGGTCGGATAGTCGTCCAGATACGTTGCTAAATTAGGAATGATTCCTAATTTTGGGTATTTTCGAATATTGCAGATATAGCACACATCATCCTAAGATATCTAGCAATCCTTGCACTATTCACGAAATATTCAAACACCCAAAAGATTAGGAAATTGAATATTCTAAGAATATAGATGAGAATCTTACCTAATTTGTGGATATTTCCAATTCGAACTCGGATCGGACTCAGGCTTGCGAATCGAGACGGTGACCGACGGCGGATGGCCGATGGCGGCGCAAGGGCAAGCTAGGCGCTGGGCTCACGGACGACGGCAGCAACGACGACGTCGATTTGGGGGGAAACAGCGGCGGCAAGATGGCTCAAATCAGGCCGGCTCAGATCGTGATCAAGACTCCTTTCACGTTCAATGGTCTTCCTTCCTTTGACCAACACTTTGTCCTTTAGATTCCACTCGCTTGGACTCTTTCTTTGACTTTTCTTTGTTTATTCTCTTCGGCCCAGCACTCCACTTGCTGCAGGAGATTGTTGAACTCGCCACTCGTTGCACCCAAGGGACTGATTTTGCGTCTGGACTGGCCACACGAGATTGGTCGAGACCGTGAACTCGCCCGAGGCGTTGAGATGGCCTACAGAATGCTTTGCCGGTACGGGCGTGCTGGAATTTCGTCGGAGCTGGAACGGTGCAAAGGGACTCGACCGCGTTGCTTGGAACTCGCTGGACAGAGGAGACTTGATTGGGAACTTCTCGGAACTCACCTTGAAATCTGTCGGAATTCGCTTCGAGATGCTAGTTAGCGATCGAGGACACTTGAAGAAAAGCTAGAAAGTCAGAAACGTGGTGATGCGAAGGCATGAAGTTCGGTCGCAGAGACCGAGGAGCGACACAGGTCCTTCAAGGAAAAGAATGGCTTTCTTCTCTGTTTTCACTGGCGTTCTCTCCCTTGGTGTGGCCGTGTATTCCTTCCTGCTTTCCTCTCAGTGGTGGCGTGAATAACTCTAGAAAAAGACTTTTTTCTATTTTTTCCTCTCTGTGTCAAACCTTGACTTTTCAGAGAGATCTTCCCTCCTTCAATCTCATGGCCATCTTTTTCTCTCTCTCACCTCCTTCGGCCGTGTATTGAATTGTCTCTGATTTCTGAAATTATGAGAGCCCTGATTATGACGCATAACTGACATATTTATATCGTAACCCTGTAGGTTAATTAACCGCTTCCTAATCCTAATGGGCTTAGACTTAGGCTTTATCATTTAATTTAATTTTAATTCCAAATGGGCTAAATTAATTCGGGCTGATTTAAGCTCAAATTAAAACAACCAAAGCCTTTTAGACTTGTGAATTTTGTCTCCCAATCCCTTGAGTGAGCCGAGCGCTCAAGCTCGGTTTACGCGATGAATTTTTAGCTTTTTCGCCATCGCCGGTCCGATGCGGAATGCAACTAACCTATATGAACTTAAACTATATACTATGCAATTTTAATATTTTTGTTTAGGGGTTAAAATTTAATCCCTAATTTTCTATGCAAATTATTATTAAATGGTTAGTCAAAATTTAGGTGTCAACAGCTGCCCCTCTTTGAAGGTGAGCTCGAAGAGGTTGCATTCAAAGACTAAATGATACCGAAATTTTGACCATGAAAATGTAATGAATGTTATTTTTTATGGGAGTGTTAATCCCGTTTTGGAATGCAATAAGAAATGATGCATGCGAATAATAAAAACGTACCTGAAGTTACTTACCTTGTAGGAGTGGTTAAGTAGATTGAAAGGCACGTGATAATACTGATGAAGTCGTCAAGCATTTGGATTTTACCTCACAGACTTGATAGGATCGAAGACTTTATATAGGACTCCAGTTACTTGGGATTTCACCTCAGGAGTTCTGAAA